GCACCTCAGAGCATTAATCTCCAGGATATATAAAGAACCCAAAAAACTTAACACCACAAAAACAAATAACCCAATTAATAAATGGGCAAAGAAACTGCACAGACACTTCACCAAAGAAGAAACACAACTGGTCAATAAACACATGAAAAATATTCAACATCACTAGCAATTAGAGAAATGCAAATTAAAATTACATTGAGATTTCATCTCACTCTAGTCAGAATGGCAATTATTAAGAATACAAGGTATATAAATCTGTGGTCAGTGTATAAGTCTATGAATCATCATTTTGTGATTTCCTTCATACTATTGATTTTTAGAAATCCTTCCATGTCTTGAGATAAATATTCACTTAAACTTAAAAAAAAAAAAAGAATACAAGTAACAATAAATGCTGGCAAGGTTGTAGGGGGGAAAGGTACACTCATACACTGCCAGTATAACCACTCTGGAAAGCAGTACGGAAATTCCCTAAAAAACTTGGAATAGAACCACCATTTGATCCAGTTATCCCACTCCTCGGCCTATACCCAAAGGTCTTAAAATTAGCATACTATAGTGATGTAGCTACAACAATATTTAGAGCAGCTAAATTCATTGGATTAGCCAAACAGGAATGAAGGGAAGGGGGAAGGAATGGGATTAGCGAAACAGGAATGAAGGGAAGGGGGAAGTAATGGGAATAGGAAAGACGGTAGAATGAATCGGACATAATTTTCCTATGTCCATATATGCATACATGACCAGTGTAACTCCACATTGTATACAACCACAAGAATGGGAAATTATACTTCATGTACATATGTCAAAATACATTCTACTGTCAGGTACAACTAAAAAGAACAAATTTAAATTTTTCAAAAAAGAATCAACCTTCAATCAATCAAATACTAAGGAACAGTCTCTAATATTCTGTTACCTAAATCTCTTTAGGAAAGTAGCAGAGAGAAGTCAAAGGCAGAGGTCTGGTAAGAAAACCAAATCTCTGCCACTATTATGGCAAATGCTAGTTTGCACAGCACCCATTCTTCAAACTTCACATCTGAGTATCACTCAGCTACAAAAAACACCTCTAATTTCTCAATGTTTCTTATGTCTATATTTTCTTGTAAGGATGGTCTAAGGACTGCTAGCTTCAGACTTATTCTGAAACTTCGCCCCACAATAATGAGGCTCCAGCAAGCATTTTTATCAAATATCATGAGTAATTCATGATGTAAACTTGTGTTTAACAGCTATACTCTTGGGACTGGGATTGTAGCTCAGTGGTAGAGCTCTTGCCTAGCATGTGTGAGGCACTAGGTTCAATCCTCAACACCACATACAAAATAAATAAAATAAAGGTATTGTGTCCATTTACAACTAAAAATATATATTTTTAAAAAGCTAGAATCTTAATCCACTCTACAAAACTCAGTAGAAGTTACCACTACATGATCTCCCCAAATTAGAATTAATTTATTTCTTCTGTACTGTTTGAAATTATGTGTAGTTCTCTTATAACATTTACTACCTTATCACTTCCCAATACTCCTCCTTACCTTCTCTCTGAAGGAAAACTTTCTCATTAATTCTGATTAACTATGGCAGAAGATTACTACTTGTTTTTCCTCCAATAGATCATTGGTTAATTCCGGCAGTTATTACAGGATGCTACATAGATAAAACGAGCTGAAATACCTACAATTCCAGGAGCTAGCTCTAATCTACCTAATGTTCTCCCACAAATTATGATGAATGATGATTTTTTATTAAAAAGTGGTCTGTAATCTTCTAAAAGAATACAACAAATGGTTTTATTCCTTTAATAAATTTTCTAGAGTATTTTCACAATTTGAAAGCATAAAAACTAAGAGTGAGATCAGTATTTTTAGTCTAGATTAAAATCCTATTGCTATTTGCTCAGAACATGAGGACTTTATTATATACACAGGCATCTATGGAGTTTTGTTCTGCATCTGTATCAGAGAGCAGAATGAATTTATAATTGATTAAATTATAAAATAAAAATGTCCCAAGAGTTTCTTTACATTCTGGAGTAGTATTTAAGACAACACTGAAGTACTCAGCCAAACCTAACAAAAAATTTCTAAATATTACCTACATGATATGTAAAAAATAAAGAGAAATGACAAAGGGAATCAAACTAAAGAAAACAAAGGGCAAGGAAAAAAACAGTAGAAACCAAGACTAAACTTCATTTAATTTGAAATATGCTTCTACTCTGAAAAAAAAAAAAAAGTTCAAAGTGAAGCTCCACAATCATGAATGTAAGAATTAGGCTAGGCACAAAGGCATGGTCCTTTAATCCCAGTTACTGTGAGGAGCGTCACAAGTTCAAGGATAGCCTGGGAAACTTAGGGAGACCTTGTCTCAAAATATGAAATTAAAAAAGCTTAGGAGAAGGCTGTGGCTGTAGCTCAGTGGCAGAGTGCTTGCCTAAAACATGTAAGGCACTAGAGCTGATCCTCAGCACTGCATAAAAATAAATAAATAGCGGATTCTGTGTATCTACAACTAAAAAATTGGAAAAAATAAAAAAGATCTGGATTTAATTCAGTGATAGAACACTCGACTATTGTGTGCAAAGCCCTGAGTTCAATCTCTAGCACAGCAAAAAAAGTGTTAGATGGTGCTTTAATCCCCATCAATTTTTACTTCTTTTATCTAGGAGAAATTTGGAATCCTGATCAAAATTGAGTGATTTTACCAAATTCACATAATAATGGGCAGAATCTGGATCTCCTGAGTTCATGTCTAGTGTGTCCTTTTTATTACATTGTTAGGCCTAAACAATGTAAAAATTGTTGTCACTTACACCAAGCTGAAACCTAAATAAATTCAATATGTTCACTTTATTAAGTGGTCAAACCTTTTGTTTTGAAGAATTCCAGGCTCTGACTACACTTGCATATACCGACATTATTAATTTCATATCTAGGAAAGATAGAGTCAAGTAATTAGCTCTGAAGTATAAGCAATGCCAGAATGAACACAGCCAAATATCTGATCCCTAGTCTGAAACATTCTGAGAATAAGCATAAGACTACATTTGTTTAAGATATAATTATCTCTTTTGAATTGCCAGGAGAAAAGTTCTATTGCTACTATTCCAGAACACAAGAAACAAGTTCATATGATGAATTTAAGGATTTTAAAATACACCATCTTCAACTTTTTAGACCAAGAAGTAAAAAGTTGATCTCAAATTTAAGAAACTGAGATCAGAGTTTGAGTTCAGACTACTACCTCAAGTAAATAATTTCTTATTTCTGAACCCCATATTTGTCTGTAATATTCAAGAGGATAGAATGGTTGATCAAGATTTGGTTCCTACAAGTTCCCTCTCTTTGTCTAATTTCATTGATGCGAAGAAAAAAAAAAAACCTCTCTTAAGACACACAAACCATACTATTCACTGAGGTTTAAAATACATAAACAGAGGGCTGGGATTGTGGCTCAGCAGTAGAGTGTTGGCCTCCAACATGTGAGGCTCTTGATTTGATTCTCAGCACCACATAAAAATCAATAAATAAAATACTGTGTCCAGCTATAACTAAAAAATAAACATTAAAAAAATAAAATACATAAACAATGCTTAAAGTGATATATGTTATCTGGTTGAGTGCACAGGAACTATATTATTTTGAAGATCTTTGTTTTACATTCATTTCATTTTCTAAGCCATTAAAAAGTTAATCATCACACAATAACCAAAATGAAACTTGACAATATTTGTCCTTGAAAAAAATCATGGCTGACTAGAGCCAAATTCCAAGACATAAGCCCTGCAGATGAGGATTTCAAAGTTTTCACGCCATGAAGTAACTTGACAGTTTTGAACTATGCTAGCTACAGCCCTGTGATCTTGGAAACAACAAAGACTTAAAAAATAAAAATAAAAACCATCGTTTTGTGTTCTAGAAAATGACTTACTGCAATAGAATCACCATTCCCCATAGAACTTAAATAAGGTTCACAGTCTAGTCTTCCACCCAGCTCCTGCGAATTTACCTATGACAAAGCCAGGATCTAGACCCTCCAAATTCCCTGTTTGTTTCATAAATGACGTCCTGAACTGCTTGTCACAACCAATCAATGGAAAACAAGTGCTTATTAATCAGACTTTGATTAAGAGTCTCTTCCTAGAAGTCCCTGGACGTTGGCTTGCACTCAGTCTGAAACAGCATACAAACCACTGTAAACAGCTCCTCAAAATAGGCTGCCTCAGAGAAAAACATTCTCTGGTTAGTGTCCATAATAACACCAGTCCTTCATCTTACTTCTCCATATGTGGTTATTTCTAGCGTTATTACCCTGCCCTATAAAAGAGAACGTTTTTTGTCTAACCTTTGAGACCCTTGCTGATCCCATGATCAAGGCATTCTCTCTACTATGATAGACCTTTCCTCCATACCTTTGTGATTTTTCCTTTCGAATAAAATCTGTTCTTACTAATTGGGATTTTTAAATTTCACATCCTTTCAATTCTGAAATGGCTGAGTTTGAAAGATAACCTGATTTTGTGTTCACTTGGAGACACTAAAGGTATTTCTAATTCTCGGTCTCTGTCCTGCGGCTGAAAAAGAAGGCGGGGAGGAGGTGATGAGCTGGGCAAGGTCAACTCTAGGTACACTTGGCGCCACGGGCCATACACACTGATGGGCCACGAAGAGGCAGGCTACCCACTCGGTACTTCCTGCCAGATCCACTCCCACCCTCCGCCCTCTTAGTCTCGCGGCTGGTCAGGACGGATGCTGATTCCTCAGGAGCTCTGACACTTGAGGCGGGTAGTGGGTCCTGCACAGAGGTTCACCGGGTGCTCCAGCCAGTTCCATTCTAAAGCAGGGCACTCAACCGCCTCCCCTCACAGGAGACTTCCTGGCCATTTCTCTCCCACAGTTGTTACTCCTGCCTTCACAGAAGAACTCACCATGGCGCCAAGGACGGGTAGTGGACCAGACACCCCGGAGCCGCCGGATCTCCCCTGCCGGTGTTGCAGAGGGGAACCTCTAGAAACCGCGAGGAAGAAGGTCTTCCGGCTCTGCCGGAAGTTTGCCTGCGCGGGACAGGAAGTTCCTCCTCCTCCTGAACGCCGGCAACCCCACGCTACGCAGAGGTGAAAATACGTAGGACGTCCTCTAAAGCAACTTCCGTGGTGCTAGGTTAGGGGCTAGGGGTGGTGCTGACCTTGAGAGGTGCGGGGAAGGCGCAGGCGCAGCACAGGTAGGTGGGCGGGCGGAGCGCCCTTGCCGTGCCTAAGACGATTCTGAGGTAGGTTGGGTGGTTTCGGAAGGAGCGCATTCTCCCTCTGGGATATGACGGAAGCACAAGTAGGTGGCTCGGGTGAGAGTCGACCCCTATATCCAGCGGATTTAGTGAGGATAAAGACCATATTGGGTCTTGTTCTTCCTGATACAACGCCGTAATTGCCTCGGTTTGTAGCCAGTGCCCTGTCTCACTGTACCCTTTCGCTTTTCTGATTTCGTCCCTTTGGGGAGTCTCGCCTTCTCGTTAGACCTGTTGTCCTTCTGTGGTTTTCATTTCCTGTCTTAGTGTGTTCAGCTCTACTCCCTCAGGTCAATGGAATCTGACCGTGAGAAGTTTCTTCATTATTCAGACACCAGCTGGAGCCAGAAGGACATCTACGAAGAACGGAGTAACCAGGAAGAGAATTCTACCTGTTCATTATATTCCAATGTGGACGTTTTCTTTTTGGCTATTAAAAAAAAAAAGGAAACGAAATTACCAAGTGGAAAGAAAGGAAATTACCCCCAGTCAACTATTTATGCCTTTTTATTATAATGAGATATAGTCCTGGAGGCAGGCTTGAAATGGGTATGCAGAGCACCATCAACCCAGAAGTACATGGGGATCTTTACTTAAGTTGTGGCTATCTGTAATCTCATCCATTTCTTTTTGCTGTAGAGTCAAGTTTTGTCATGAAGTTGGAACTGAGACCAGAAGCTAAGAAGCTTCAGAAGAAGTTAGAAATGGTTATGGATTTTCAGTTTCACCCTTCTTACCAGAGTATCTGAAGGGAATGATATGAATGTCGTAAACGACCCAAAGACCTTGGGAATTAGAGGTCTGAACGATCCAAAAGAAGCAGGCATGGAGCAGTTGCTTTCTATTAGAAAGGGGGTTCAGAGACTGGTTGTGTGAGTTATGTTGTCTTTTACTTTAAATTTTGTGTGTATTGAGGGGATACATAGCATTATAAGGTGGGAAGATACAGAAATCCTAAATACTGACAGAAACAGCTGGAAGCAGGAGGGGGCTGAGGAATAGTTTGTAAAACAAATTCTGCTGAGGATCAATCCAGAACTTCCCTGAGGGTTCAACTTCTGCTGTGTAGGGACTAGGTTGTAAATAGACAAGCCCCAGGGCATCTACAGATGGTTAAGTGTGTTAGAGAGGGGTTGTAGTTGTCTGCTAGTGGATCTGTGGGAAGCAGGTGCTATCCTTGAGGAAGAAAAGGTGGAGAAGGAAAGTGGCTATCAGCCTGTCAGTGACAACACATCCTGTGAAGTCTTACTCTTTCATTTCTGACAGTGTGGTTCTTCTTATATCTGTCCTCAACCTGGCAGCCTCATTGAGGTTCACAAAGCATCTCTTTCTATGTGACAGTAACGTTGAAATTATTATCAGGATAGATTCTCTTCTTGCCAGGGTAAACCAAGAAAATAAATAATTTTTTGTTATCTGCTTATCATTTTTTATATGCCATGGGGTTCTATATTTGTTATTAAGTATAAAGCACATTGATAAATACTCCTTGGTTAATATCCTTTAATATTCATGTTTCACAGTTATCTTTATTACATCATGATAAATCTTATACAAGTAGTATTTTAATGATTTAAATGCATATAATATATTTTAATGCAGTGTCACCCAATCCCTTTTTTATCCTATAGAAAAACAGTATTTTCTATTCTTTACCTGTCTTAAAGGAATTTTCCTGTTTCCATTTCTTAAAATAGAAGTCTTTGACAAAGATTCAAAAAAAGGGAACAGTTATAAAAGGGGGAAAAAGGTGTGAATGATGAAGATTAAAAAGAAACTCGGTAGTTTTGACAAGGGGATGGGAACATAATCATTGAGAAACGTCTTGGTTGCTTACTATTAGGACTTAATTTAAAAAGTTGAAATGTCCTGAGAGAAATCTTCCCAAATATTTAGAAGTGCCAACAGGAAGTTGCCTCCTCTCTTAATACTCACATTGACCTGGAACTCTTACAACCTTTAAAACGTATTACTTTTTTCAAAATTCAGTCCATAGTTTTTGTAAAATGTACTGCTTAGTTTCTCCTCTAAGAAACCTTTCCCTGTTCTTACTCTCATTTAATAAGTGTGATTATTACATGCTTTCTTTTTTTTCTGTCATTTATATATATTTTTTTAGAGAGAGAATTTTTTAATATTTATTTTTTAGTTTTCGGTGGACACAACATCTTTGTTGTATGTGGTGCTAAGGATCAAACCTGGGCCACACGCATGCCAGGAGAGCGCGCTACCGCTTGAGCCTCATCCCCAGCCCTCCTTTCATTTATATTGTTTTCCAATAACCACCTAGAGAACTGGGATCTTGTTTTTGTTCTGTTTTGCCATCTTCCTCTATAAGAAATACCTTAATGCTGTGGACAAAGATCATTTCAGTTAAATTGCACTTAAAATTCTTTGTGGACAAGATGTTAGTTGTCATAATACTTTAAATGATAAAAAGTAGTTGCAGTCTTACTTATAACAATAAGATCAGTCACATTCTGTTATATATGCTTAGTGGGATATTATCTGTTTTTAAAAGCAATTAGACTAGAGTTTCTAATGGAAAATGTTTAAATTTCTAAGTTAAAAGAGCATTTTATGGACTATGTTTTCCCCCAAAATTCGTATATTGAAACCCTAACCCACAATGACACAACATAAATAGATAGGAACTTTGGAAGGTGATTTGTCATGAGGGTGGAGCCCTTATGATACAATAATGACTTTATAAGAAGAGATACAAGTGATCATGTTTTCCCTCTTCTCTCCATCATGTGAGGACAAAGTAAGTACACAGCTATCTGCAGTTCAAGAAGAGGGCCCTGTCCAGAGCCCATCCATGCTGGCACCCTAATCTCTAACTTCCTAGCATCCAAACTATTAGAAATGTATTCTATTGTTTGACTTACCCAGTTTATGCAAAATAGTGCTCAGGGTGGGTTTTTGTTTGTTTGTTTAATTTTTTCTTTTTTTGTAAATGGACAGAATGTCTTTATTTTATTTGTTTATGTGGTGCTGAGGATCAAACCCAGCATGCAAGGCAAGCACTCTGCTGCTGAGCTACAGCCCCAGCTCAGATGGTTTCGTTTTGTTTTGTTTTTTGTTTTAATTTAGGTAAAGAATAGATCAGTTTGGCTTTTGTTTCTAAAATTTTGCTTTTTAACATTCACCTATATTGCTCTCATCTTTCAAGTTTGGGGAAAAAAATTTTTCAGAAGCATATTGCAACCTTTTAATGATTGAATAGCCTCCCTGAATCTCCTTTATTTCCATGACACTTACCACAGTTGTTTCTATGACTGTACCACATAGCTGATCAATTGGTTGCATAAACTCTGAAAATTTTACACAAGTAGTACGGTGCACATTTTCAAAAACCATTAACATATGAAATGGGATCTTGATACCATTTGATACCTTGTGAGGAAAATCTAAAACAGTTACCATCACCAAAGGCAGTAAACAGACAAAACCATATCTGTTGGAAACTGAAATTACTTTTATTCATTCATTAAATATTTATCACCAGTCACTGTTCTGTACTCCGAGAAAACCATGGTAAATAAAGTAGACATAGTCCCTATCAGGTAATTTACGTTTCAGTAGTAACCGACCATACATGAATAAATAAGGAAAATGTAAGATAGTAAGTACTAGATGAGTATTATAACAATAGTACTTCATGACTAAATAGATGACTATTTTAGATTATATGATTAAGAACAGCTTCTAAGAAGATGCCATTTATGCTTCTGTTTCAATGATAAGAGAACCCTGTTTTACAGAAATTGAGGAACCATTGTTTACAGAAAGGGTGACAATGCAAAACAAAGGAATGATCTAACTTGGAATATTTCAGGAGTCAAAAGAAAGTCTGCATAGTTGGAACATAGCGCCTAAGGGAAGAATAATGCTGACGGGACTGGAAAGGCTAGATCATGTTAACATTGAAAGCCAGGAAGGGGTTTGGGTTTTATTCCAAGTGCAGTGGTGGGGTGAGTGGGGTGGAGGGGTGGTTTTTAAACTGAGGAATAATATAAATATGTTTATATTTAAATCAATGATATTTACTTCTTTATTTGTCCTACCTCTCCTGTGTTCATTTTCTCTTTCTTTTTTTTTTCCCCCCCAGGGGGGTGGTTGTTTACTGGGGATTGAACTCAGAGCATTTGACCACTGAGCCACATCCCCAGCCCTATTTTGTTTTTATTTAGAGATAGGGTCTCACTGAGTTGCTTAGTGCTTAACTTTTGCTGAGGCTGGCTTTGAACTTGAAGTTCTCCTGTCTCAGCCTCCCAAGATGCTGGGATTACAGGCATCCTGTGTTCATTTTCTTTTTTACCTACTTTTAAATTGATTAATTAATTTTAACTCTTCTGGCCTATAAGCTTAACAATTATTTATCTTTTAGTATTCTTTTTAGTGTTGACCTGAGATCACAACATGAACTCTTAGTTGATTAACTTCTAAGATAATTTAGTACACCTCTTCCTAGATAATATAAGGACCTTAGCACACATCAACTTCACTCACCATTTTATATAAATTATCTATTCTTTATGTGTATTTCCTAAATTGTTATTATTTTTATACAATTAATGTGCACTTATATTTATGCAAACTTTCTTTTGCTGTTCTGTGTAATGAGTACCTGAATCAGACTTTGCATCTGAAATTATATTATTTTTCCCTCAAGAAAGTGCATTAATATGAATGTTTTATGAATATTTGCGTATTACATGTTTACATGTTCTCCCAGTTTTTGTATTCTGAAACTTTATTTTTTGTTTTATTCTCAACCAATATTTTTACTGAATTAGCAACTATTTTATGATTTTAAAAGATATATTCTATTGCTTCTGGCTTTCATTCTTAGAAATAACATCAGTTTTATGTTTACCTTTTAAAGGTAATTTATTTTTTCCTTGATACGCCAGCATGGTGTTTTGATGATTTTGTTTTCTTTTGAGGTTTATAATGCTGCTTGAATCTGGTTCTGATGTTCTTAGGTCTATTTTGGAAAATTGTCATCTCATCTCATTGGATACTGATTTTGCTCCCACTTTTTTTTTTTCATCTTCTGGTACTCCACTTACATGATGTGTTTGACCATTTCATTTTTGTCCCCTGTTTTCTTTATATTTGCCTCTTATCTTTCATTCTAGATAATTCTTAACCTTTCATTAGGTTCACTGTTTTTAGTTCTTTCTAATCTGTTGAAAACTACCTGTCAAAGCATTTATTTCAGTATCTTTTTAGTTACTTATTCAAGTATTTCTGTTTGGTTCTGTTTTATTGTTTCCAGTTATCAACCCAATATCAATCTCATCTTTTATTTTCTCAAATTTATAATTCATAGTTCTTTTACAAAAGAAAACTATGTCTAATAACTATGGGTCTGCTGTTATCTGAAGCATCTCTTGTTTGTTTATTGTCCTTTATCACATTGTCTTTTACTTTTGTTATTTTTTATATTTTATTTATAAAAGTTTGCTATTTTCTCTTATTTATGTTACATTACTTTTTATTGATTGTCAGCATTATTTGACACATAAAGAGATTATACTTTGAGGTTATTGTGATATTTTCTACAGAAAGAATTTATGACTTCTGACAGGAATATTAGACACGAGAAATCCAAGATCACCTTAATCTAGTGAGTAATTGAGATGATTAGAATGTGGGTAGGTGTGCTTCAGATTTATAGTTTTTCCCAGGGAAGAGACCTATAAGTAGACCTATGATGTCTAGGATATGCTTCAAATAAGAGATGGGGAAATGGATGATAGTATAAATGAAATAAGATTCATCATAAATTGATAATTGTTGAAGCTGAGTAATAGGCATTTGTTCTATTCTGTAAAGTTCTTAATTTTTTTTCTTGTAGATGGACATAATACCTTTATTTTATTTATTTTTATTTTTATGTGGTGCTGAGAATCAAACCCAATGTCTCATACACAATAGGCAATTGTTCTACGACTGAGCTACAACCCCAACCCCTCTATCCTGAAAACTATTATATATGTTTAACATTTGCCATAATAAAATTTTTATGGGAAATGCCAAAATATTACTAGTTAAAGGATTAGTATACAGATTGCATAAAGAACTACTACAGTTTGGTGAAGCTTTGTGTTCATGTCTATAATCCCAATAACTCTATAGGTTGAGGCAAGAGAATTACAATTTCAAGGCCAGCCTGGGCAACTTACAGAGACCCTGTCTCAAAAAATAGAAAGGGCTGTGAAATAACTAAAGGGTAAACTGCCCCTGGGTTCTATCCCTATACTTAAGGGGGAAAAAAAGAGAGAAAGAAAAGAAAAAAGATAATGCCCTTCGCCCCATTGTCATTTCAAACAGGCAATTCACAGAGAAGAAAACATGGATACTGGGGCTGGGGATGTGGCTCAAGTGGTAGTGTGCTCGCCTGGCATGCATGCGGCCCGGGTTCGATCCTCAGCACCACATACAAACAAAGATGTTGTGTCTGCCGAGAACCA